GGGGGTCGGGTAGCCCCGCGGCGGGGTTCCGGGGTTGAAACCCCTACCCCGACTTGGGCCCCGGGGATCCCTGCGTGACAACGCTGATTTGGAGGCATACTCCTCCACACTCTCGAGTCCGCTTGGTCCCACCTGGGCAAGGATCATCGAAATTGCCTCTGGCTGCCAGTCAGTGATGAGAACAAAAGGCTTTTCGGGATCCGGTCTTATAAGGACCGGAGCCGAAATGAGAGCGGCCTTGAGTTTGGAGAACGCTTGATCGCACTCCGGCGTCCAGATCAACGGCCGATCTTTGCGCAGCAGATTCGTGAGGGGTCCTGCAATCGCCGCGAAGCCCTTGATAAATCTTCGGTAGTACGAGGCCAGGCCCAGAAAGGCACGAACTTGCGTGATAGTTGTAGGCACCGGTACGTCCCTGACAGCTGCCACCTTCTGTGGCTCCGGCTGGAGTCCCTTGTCTGTCACCACGTGCCCTAGGAAGGAAATGGTGGTGAGGAAAAACTGACACTTCTCAAGCGCCACCTTGAAGCCCGCGTCTCGTAACGCGTGCAGTGCCCATTCGATGTGTTGCATGTGTCCCTCTTAGGAACTCGAATACACCAAGATATCATCCATGTACACAATCACGCAGTAGTTGATGATGCTTTGTGCCAAACGAGTCTTTCTCACGAAATTCTGAAAAGCCATGTTCATGGCCCGCTGAAAAGTCGCGGGGGCATTGCAGATACCCATCGGACATCGAATCCACTGCCACGTGCCCTCGAAGAGTACAAACGCTGTTTTCGGGCGATCTTCTTCTCGAACAAGAAGATGATGGAACCCATGGCGAACATCAAACTTGCTGAAAAATCGAGCACTCCCAATCGCATCCAACTACTCATCAATCCGGGGGAGGGGGTACACATCTTTGATCGTGATATCATTCAACTTTCGATAATCAATGCAAATGCGAATCCCTCCGCCCTTTTTAGGCACGATTACTACGGGAAAAGACCAGGGACCTATGGCGGGTTCGATCCATCTATTAGCTTCGAATTCTTTAATCTGCTGAAAAGCGGCCGCTCTTTGAGCTGGCGAGTATCGGTAAGGAACTCAGCTAATGGGTGGATGGTCTCCCGTGAGAATGACATGCTCGATCACCTTAGTTAAGCCGATGTCATTATCGTGTATGCTCAATACTTCTGCATAACCATTTAACACATAGATTAACGACTTTCGAAGTTCCGTGGGAACGTGACTCGGTAGGGTAATTGTTGATTCCCCGGAAATCTTAAGGGGCATATCGACCCAATCAACCGGCCGTTTCCGTCGATCATAAACACTAGAGAAAACGGAACTACTGGTGCGAAGAGAGAAAACAGTTGCTATCATCTGGGACTCAGCGGGGTTGATCATCTCCGTTTCTTTAGTTTCAGCATCAGTCTCAAAACCAACCGAGGTCGGTTCCACAGTTAGCCCCGTTAGACCTGTCATTTCATGCATCAGATCAGGTACATCACTTACCGGCGCTTCCGCCTCTTGTTTAATCAAAGCGATGGTGGCTCCTGTTGTTAGTAACGTTCTGGGCGGAAAAACAGAAACATCCAAATATTGTTCCGTTTGCTGATAACGCGTTCGTAAGGAGAGAGCTCCTTCGTACAAGGTGCGAGGGGGTTCCGAATCATCGGCCAGGTCAGATACTTGTAATGTAGGTTCCCCAAGCAGGACCGAAGGACTAACTTGAGTTATCGGGGGCGCAAGCGCGCTGTCTCCTGAATCCACGTGGAAGCTTTGAGCAGGGTCGGGGCACACTTGGAATTCTTCGGGAATTTCGTGTTCGAAAAGTTCGACCAGGTACTTCCATTCATCTTCGCTAGGCAGCTCTTCTTCGTATTCCTGTTCCCTGATTCCACTATCAATATCCGAGGAAGAACACTCATCGGGATTGATGTATCTAATCATCCCTATTTGGGCCGAGTTAGGGGTTCGTTTTATCGTTCGGGTGGAAATTCGCAAAGGGACAGTTTGAGGCTTTCCCCCAGTTTGAGTGAGCACCAGTTGTTTCGAATCGAAATGCAATCGTGCGCCCACTGCCATCGCCCAAGGCAATCCTAATAGTACAGAATAGGAGCGCACATCTATCACCAGCGCGTTGACGAGGACGTGTACTCGTCCAACCTTTACAGCCACGTTTTCAATAATGCCTACGATTTTTATTGCTTCCTCGTCGGCAGAGACATAATTGTCTTTGCGAGATTGAGGAAGAATGGATCCGAGTCGTCCCGTCTTTCTGACATTGTCTAATGATATGGCTACTGCAGAAGACCCTGTGTCGATAAGGGCGTCAAACGGCTTGCCCCAACTCTCGCAATCACACTTCGGCGACTCCGCGCTTTTCCATAGCACCGGTCGAGCTCGTACGAAGTGATTTTTCTCTACTAAAGAGATCGCTGCTATTCGTGCGGCCTCAGGTTCGCCGGCTTCGGGTTCGGGTTGTGCCACTTCCTCGTTTCCTTCCTTCTTCTTTAACATCCGTTGTATGCGCTGATAGGTAAAGCGCTTTTGATTTTTCTGGCAATGTTGTAAAAGTTTATCATTCGCCGCTTCAGATATGGTGAGCAGATGTCCCACCAGGATCGGAACACGAATATCTAGTTGTTTGAGTGCTTGTAGCACGTTAATCTCTCCTGTTCGAAACTGCGGACCAGGATTGGATTCGCGATTGACCCATTCGAGATCATAAGAGGCCGATCGGATTACTCCGACCATGCCTGCAAGATGAAGATATTCGAGTGGATCGACCACGTCCGCAGCGTCAGAGGGAAAAGCTCCTGATGTCGACGCCATTGTCGTCAAGGGGGAAGGCTGCTCTGTGGCATATGCCACGAGCTCTCCTCCCTGGGCTGTATCCATCAAAGCGGCCACTCGTCCTTGATTCAGGGCCACGGGGGCCGCCGCAGGTGGGGGCTGACTACGTTTTGGCTGCGGGCAGTCTCGGGCGAAATATCCGGGCTGTTTGCAATTTAAACACTCGATCTTTCCGGCTGGATTGGCTAGGTGAGGGAACTGAGGTGCGTACCCTGGAGCAGGCGGGGCAGGTAAGAGCGGAAATGATGCGGGGGCCGGCCGAGCAGAGGCCGGGTTAGGCTTGATTAGCCTACTCATTATCTGTTTCATCCGTTCCATGTGAGTGGCTTGCATTTGGATCAAGTTGCTCATCCATTCGAACTGCTTGGTAGTGGCCGTATGGATCATCTTGGCGAGGTGTAAGTTGGTTATGGCCGGCGAGGAGGGTTCGGGTGGGATTCCGCTTTTAACGACTGCGATCGATTGATTCACCGCGGGAGAGGAAGAAGAAGCAGGCAGGGTATCGGAAACGATCCCGCCGGGAAGGTCATGGTCGGGGCGGGGATAAAACCGTTCGACCGCCTGCAACCATGATCGCCTTTTAGCCGTTACATCCCGTATGGTATCTGTAATGTCTTCGTGTCCCTGGCTCATATACTTTTTTGTATCAGCCAGGTCCAGTTCCAATGCTTTAGTGATGATAGCTGACAACTGGAGTATTTTCGGCGGGACCTTTTTCTGCAGTTTGCCTTTCAATGTAGGACTTCGTAGATGGTCGATGAACAAATCTTGAG